TAATGAATGATAATGATAAAATACTTTATTTAATTCTTATATTGATATTTACCTCCACTATTATTTCTAGATGATCAATTTCCTAATTAATATATAATACTGAGCACCTATTATACACCATGTATGTTCTAAATCCTTTATGTGTATAAAAGTGTTGAATCCTCTCAATAGCCCTCTACATAAACAATGTTATTATGCCTAATTTTACAGATGAGGAATCTTATGCAGAGAGAGGTTCAATAATTCTTAATGTTAAAAAAAAAAACAGTATTGTCAACTGCGATTCAAATTTAGCAGACTGGCTCCAGATTCCAAGTTGCTAACCATTGTACAGTCTATCTGTGAGGTCAAAAGCAAGTTTGCTACATCCTAAATCTTCTGTTATTTTATATAACCTTTGGAAAGAAATTTCACCAAATCTTGGAAACTCAAGTACTCTCTAGAACACTACTCTTTGTCATCCTAATGGAAATGAATTTTTGTCTACAAAGTTCATACCCCCACGCATCACAAATAAAAGGTTACTTGTGTCTATCACATTTTATAGACCCAGTAAAATAGCATAGCCTTTGTGAATGTAGATTTGTTAACTGGGTGAAACAAAAAGAATGTTGTGCACAGAAAATTAACAACTGTATTCTCTATTCTCTCACCCTTTCTGTAGCATCATAGAGCAAGTGATATTAGTTTGCTTCAAGCATAACCTTTCTAAGATTGTTCACAAAATCCATTCAATATACTCTAACACATTCCCAAACACCATTTAAATAAAGAATATATTCAACTTTAAAATAAAAATTTCTGTGAAACTGATGAGAAGGATTATTGTATAAAAGACAACTATTTTTTAGGATACTCATGAAAAACAGCCTAAGCTTATTTCTTCAATAACCATTTTCAATAAACATCTCTATACATAGTGTATGATGCCAAATATAGGAAATAAAAAGATCAATTAAGATAAGGTCTTATTAAAAATGCATAATTTTTATGGAGTAAACTCTATTATGAGCAAAGTCAAAAGAAAAACAACAAACCAAGAAAAATTATTTGAGCTATATAGGATTGACAAAGGTGAATTTTCACAATATATAAAATGTTTTTATAAATCAATAAGAAAACACTATGAGTGCAATAAAAAGGGCGATGATTTGAATATACAATTCAGAAAACATGACATGCAAATAATCAATATCTGAAAATATGTATATCCTCAATCTCACTCATGATGAAAGAATTAGAAATATAAACGAGACCCCATTACCCTCCACAAAATCAGTGAAAACATTAGTTTTCCACCACCCAAAGTTGGCAAGAGAGAGGGAAACTCGCACTTTCTTATCTTACTGGTGAAATTGCAAAATGTTGCAATATCTAAAGGAAATTAGCCTTTGTCCATTGCACTGCAGGAAGTAAATAAATGTTGGATAAATAAATACATATAAGTCCATTCTCACAGAAGCCATCCTCATACATATACCTTGGTATACTTTTGTAAATACTAACCAAATTAACTCTTAACAATTGGATTAATTTCTGCCTTTCAGGCTCAGCACTTTTGCCAGAGTCAAAATTAGGAACTCCAATCTTAGTATCATAACTTGGACAGGTTCCAGTAAAGTCTTGCAGAGATCTCATTCTCATGGATTATCAAGACCAAGAAAGACCTCCCTATCTTCCCCAGGCAGAAGGGGCAAAAGGTTTGACTGAAAAAAAAAAAAAAAGCCTCATGTACCAATAGAAGCAGTTCCTGGAGAGGTAGCAGTAGCCTGATGTCCTGTATCTCAAGCCAAAGGTGATCTTGGCTCACAATGAAAGAACTAGAGTGAACAGAGGGAATCTTCTGGGTAATAAATGACAAAGCCTGAACTAAGATAGGAACAGAAGCTATACCTAAAAGCTAGATTTGGGTGATATCAGTGATACGGTCACTGTATGGATGTGAGGCTATATCTCACAAAGCATCTAGGTGACTCCCCAATTTGACTTGGAAAATTCAATGATGATGGTGCCACTCCCCCCATAAAATGAACAGGAGGAAGAGTTGTTCAGAAGTTGGTCTCTTAAGCTTGAACTCCTGAGTTTGACTCCAGGTTCCATTGCATATAAGCTATGTGACTCTGTCCAAGTTACTTCATTTCTCTTTCCCTAGATTTGCTCATCTCTAACATAGAAATAATAATAGTATGTATTTCATAGGGTTGACATGTAGATTAAGTAAGTTAATATCTTAGTGCCTAGTATCAAGTGCTTAGAACAGTGCTAGGAATGTAGCAAGTGTTATATGATTGTTAGATTATTAATAGTATTCATCTAAGGATTTGAAATATTTATCCTTGTTAAAAATTTATAATAATGATTTCCCGTGCCCAGACTTATCCTCAAGGCCACAGACAATGGGCACATTGATGGTAAAAGCCGCCGTCGTACTCAGGAGACAGTGGCTCAGCTGGAATTTGTTCTTGCTCAGTCAGGGTAATGGACAGAGAGAGTTACAAAGTGAGCACACACATCTTGCAAAAACAGCTCTCTTACTCCATGCTCTACCATACCTCTTGCAAGGCAGAAAATATCACTACTCTCCTAAATAACTGCTTCAGACAAATGGCATATTTAGGATGCTCTAAGTATCACATGATTATTACCAATCCCAAGTTCTTCCTTATGTTTTTCCCTATCCTCTCGATGATTTGCAGCCTACAATCCTAGTCAAACTCTTCCTCCTTCACTATTTATTTTATGACAAAGAGTTCTCCCTCTTTTGACCTCATCACAACAAGAACTGATATTATTTCAACCAGCCATTCTTACATGAATTTATCTTTTTGTTTTATACACATTTTCCAAATGAAATATTAAAAAAAAATCTAACTTAGGGTGGGGCAATGGGGTTACAATCGTATACCACTTTGCTACCCCTGTGGTTGTTTTCTATAGTATAAGGCACAGTAGATGTTGCATAAATACATATCCAGTGGATGAATGATAGCTGTAGCTTCCCTCAATGATAAAGACAGAGTGTAGGTTGAGATTTAGTTAAGATTCCAGAATTAAGACAAATATCACTAGAGATAACTTCTAAAAGGGTTTGCCCTCTATTCAGTGTCGGTTAGCTCATGTTCATCAGCTACAAACTCGAGATCATTCCTTTCTCACAGTCTTCACTACCATGGATTTCCTCTCCATCTTCCCCTACTCATCATTCTCAGAACGTCCACATCTGTGCTGACCACGCCCCCAAACATCTGGCCGCATAGTGAGTGCCTTTACCTACTTAACCTTATAAATGTTCATTCATTCTTCACTTTATTGCTAATACATTTTTATCACACTGACTTCTTTCATTAACCTAAGGATAACTTGGTAAATATTATACAATAATGGTTAAAAATATGACATCTCGAGCTAGTCAAGCTTGCTGAAATCACTATTTGGGAACTTGCTAGCTGCGTAACACCAAACAAGTTAGGTAGCTGTTGAGAGACAATCCTCCATGGCATTTCTGCACATCTTATATCAGGTTTTCTTCTGTATTATCTCTTCCAGGATGTTAGTATAGCAAACAGCCTTGGAAGATACAAAGAGTGTCTCCCTCTGGAGTGGAAGACAGACTTGTTTCCAGGCCAACATACACTGTCTCCTTCTGGGGCAGATTTTAGGCAGGTCTGCTAGCAGCCTTTTATAAGATTGGGGGTTTCCTAGGCTTAGGGTCAGCAGTGACACAAACCCACTATAAGCGGCATTCACCAGGGCCACTATGTATCACTCAGTGGGACCTGAGAGGCAAAGGACTATGAAGTTCATGCCACCTGCTGTACTTGAGTAATGAGGTCATTTGTCTCTGCCTCAGGAGCCTTTTGTCTTCAGCTAGTAGCATCCATGAACATATGGCTGGCTAACTTGTTATTTTACCAGAAGGGTAAGATCTCAGGCTTTTCACAGTTCTTAATAATAACCTTGTTATGCTTCAGCGTCTCTACTTGTAGAACGGAGAGGGTGCTTAAAACCAGCCTGAGTCTCATATCTAGACTCTTTAACAGTATTTGGTGACTCTTGATTGCCTCCTTGCCAAACCAAATTTCATGCTTTCCAGCTCAGTTCTCACTGGTGGCCCTGGGGCACTGACCTCTCCTTCATGGAAGTTCCTAATCCCTAGACTGTGACTCTGCACTAAAATGGTTTTCTTTTTACGTGTTTGTCCCTGTTTAGTTTCTTCCCGAAATGTCACAAATCAGAAATAGGAGAATGTTTCGCAAATGTCCTAAGACAGTCCTAAATTTTCACAAAATACTAATTAACAATACTACAACAGAAAGCCAGTTTTTCTAAAACAGAGAATGGGAAATAATCAGAAATGAAGAGGTAGATAGAGTCATGAGATCTTTATCAAAAGGAGATAAGAGATATAGAAACCTAAAAAATGTCAAGCCACTCAATTATGTAGATGGTTGATATTCATTATTCTCTGATATTTAATTATAATGAAATATTTGTAAGAAAGTTATTAAAAAGAAAACAAGGGAAATGGTGGCTGTTATATGGCCAAAGGACCATTGAAACACAGTGCGGAATGATAGAAAGAAGACAATTTTTACCATCAACAGATTCCCAGGGAAGCCCAGCTCCAGCTTCTGGTCCTTTTAAGAACTAGGGTGAGTCACTTAACCTTCCCAAACTTCAGTTTGCTCACCTCCCAAATGGGGTAAGTCTATTCACCTTGAAGAGCTGTTGATGGGTATGTATAGTGAGTATCACAGGATTGAAGTATTAAATAATTATTTTCTTTAGAAATTAATAAAAGGGCTGAGGGTATTTCTGAATATATCCCAAAAGGATATAAAATTGTGTAACATGGTACTACACTTGCCAAATATTGATAGCATTATCGAACTGAAACTCTGGCTTCATAAAAATTCAGGATGAAGAAAATTCCTTAGTGTCAGACTTCTGGAATTCAGTGTCAGTCTTCAATAGCCACTTACTTGATTTGATCAACTTACCTGTAACAGAAAATCAAAGAGGGCCATCTTGGACCACTCATGGTGATGTATTTCAGTACAACCCCATTCAGGTTTGGGTACTCGACCATTCTGCCAGCACTTCCATTTTAGCAACTGCTGGTAAGTTCCCCAGGTAAGCTTAACAGATGAGTGGGTCTCATTACTTGTTGGAGATAAAGATGAATCCCAGAGAATGACAGGACATGGGCGGCCATCTGTGGAATTCAAAAAACAAACACGCTGTTAGCATGCTAATGCTTGGTGTGTGCCATTGGACAGTCATACATTCTTTCACAGCTTTACTCTCTCACCTGTCAAATGTGAGAGTTTAATTGGATGGTATTTTATGGTCCCTTTGTCTTCCTAGGTTTTGATATTTTATATCTCAATGATACTTCCTGATAGAAGTCTTATAAAACACAAAGTTATTGTGAGACAATGAAAGAAAAAAACTTTTTTAAACAAGATACTTTATAGATGTGGCAGGAATTGGCCACTAACCACCAATAGAAACGTCCTCTGGTTAATGTGGTTTTATTCCACATCTAAAAGCAGCCACCACAAAAAAGGAAAGAATCCAGACATTTATAATTGTCTGTTCAGTGTCTGAGTGGAGTTGCTCTCGATTTGTAATAACAACTGTCTGATTTTCTGAGGCCATATTATGATGTCAGGAAAAAAAATAATTTTTAGAAGTCACACATTTAAAAGTAAAATTGTATGGTTCACACCAGTCACTATAATCTCCAAAGAAGGAAAAAGAAGAAAGAGGTTTTCTTTTTCTTTTTTGATGGAAACATCAGCACTTTTAGTAATATAGATTATTTACTCACATATAACCTCACAAAGTGTATTTAAGCAAATGACAGTGCTTCACAACTGCATGTGTATAGATGATTTTTCAAAAAATCTGTCAGAGTTTTTTTGTTTGTTTTGTTTTTTTTGTCTTACTCTTGATAGTTTAGGAATTTTATTGCTAAAGTCCATGAAGAATGGCAAGCCTGAGTGAAGTCATCATAAACAGGGAAGACCGTCATTGGGTACACTGAATGACACTTCAAGCTTAACACCAGTTACATCACTCTCAGGCCCCCATTTCTGCCAAATAAAGTCACCAAGAGATTGACGATGAATAGCTTTTCAGAATGATGCTCTTGGGAGGTAGGGATGGAGGGGGAGGACAAAACTGAGTCACAGAGATTTGAAAAAGCCCACTTTACTCATTCTTAACAGGCCTGGACAATGGAAGCCTCTGAAATTATGACTGGAATGTCTAGACACGACAGGAATTTTTAAAGCCCTTTTAAGCAACCTGAGAGGTTCTCAATATGCAACTGTTTTTCTTTCTGTTAAAGACTTTTATTTTACCACCTTGCTTGCCTCTCCTACTTGTATAGTTCTTATCGCTAGTCTTGAACACAGGAAACAGTCATCTTCTCTAACCATTCTTGAATTTGGTGTTACGGAAACCTTGATAATTTTAATAGCATTCACTTAATCACACTAATCACCTGCATTGCAGTTTTGTTCAAAAGAAAAATCTTCCTCCTTTTAGTCTTGCAATGTTGGCCAGTGCATGTGGAAAGTCGTTTAGATTGTGGAAAATATGCCACAGTCATTGACATCCAATTAAGAAAAAACACAGGTGGAAAAAAAAAAAATACATGAACCACGACTAAAGAATTTCATTGTTAACAATACATCTCTCTTTTTTATTTCTTCTACTTTATTAAATGGTTTCGGGCTGCTGGGACCTAAAGGAGTGTTCTCTACATACTATGCTAATTTAAAAAATAATAATAATACATCCCAGGTAAAAGCAGTCCATTAGGCAGTGTGAGATACATATGCACCAGTGTAATCAAATAGGAGTAGAAGGCACAACACAGCTTGCAAAGCATGGGTACTTCAGGCTTCTAAAGATAAATACCAAGAAGCTCTATCTGTCAATGTCATTAGACCAAAATGATACACAGATAGCACTTTGCATTCTCAGTGCTAGGAACTATTCAAAGGGAGTTGAAACCTAATGGGGAATTTCAATAACACAAATCAAAACACGAGACAGACAGGCCAGCAGTTTCCTCAGCAACTCACATAGCACCCTCAGGGAAACAGCACTGCATCCACATGAACAACTGAAACAGTTAACAACCTTCTGGGCTGCTTTTCTTTCCTTTGGAAACATTTGTTTCTTATTTTAAAAGTAATTAAAAGTCAATCTAAAAGTCAATTCATTTTAAGAAATGTGGAAAAACATTAAAATGTGTAGCTAAAAAAACAATTCATCTATAATCTCATATCCCAGTAATTGGTTCTGTAACTTAGATTATTTACCTCTGGTGTTTTTCCACCTTTTTCTCACCTGAAAATGTAAATTATTTTTAGAACTGTAAGGAGTAAAGCATGGTAAGAGCTCAGACTCCAATCCAACGGACCTTTTGAATTCTGGTCACATTAGTTCTTAGCTTTGTAACATTAGACAAGTTATGCAATCTCTCTTTGCTCTTATCTTCTGTAAAATGAGGCTGATTACGTACCTTCCAAGTGGACTTTGTTAGGATCACACACTTACAGTTCTCAGCCTGGTACCTAACATATATATGTATATTCCAGAAAGGTTTTGCTCTGACTGTTATTACACATATACAGTATATAATCACATAATTCATCAGCTTTCAACTGGCCTTTATTTGTTCATGGAGCATCTACTATGTGCTAAGCACTGCCCTAGACCTGAATTAATGCCCTTTTTTTTTTTTCATGGAGCTTACATTTCCACCAGGGGTAAGAGGCAAAAATTATGCAAAGAAAATAAACACTTTGGGATTATCTTATATATACAAGATCAATTTGTTATAATTATTTCACTAAATATTATATCATAAACATTTCTCTTACAATTAAATATGTTTAAATAACATCACTTTAACTGTAACACAATAATATAGCTCAGAAGTCAGCAACCTTGGTTAATGGCAGGTAGTGAAATGTTTTAGGCTTTGAGAGACATATGGTCTTCTGCACAACTCTTCAGCTATGCAAGTGCTCAACGCTTTTGTAGCATAAAAGCAGTCCAAGACAATGTATCAACCAATGGCCTTGACTGTGCTCCAGCGAAGCTGTATTATAGACACTGGCATTCGCATTTCATATAATTTTCAAGTGTCGTAGGAATATTATTCTTCTTTTGATTTTTTTTCAACCATTTAAAGTTGTAGAAACCATTTGCAGTTTAAGGGCCATATATAAAAACAGGCAGTCGGCCATCTTTGACCCTCAGGCTTTGGTGTATCACCCCCTAATCTAGTCTATGAAGATATACTATTTCATTTACTATTTCTCTACTTTAGTAGGTCATCACATTTTTTGAATAATACATTTTCTACACTACTATGCAAAAAGTTGTTTTCCAACTGCCAAAGGGAGCTTTCCGCCGATAAAAATAATTGGCTTTCAATTAATATTCTGTGCTTTTCTTCACATCCATCCATGTCCCTCAGCAAAATCCTTTGAACGCTGACTACCGCATAAAGATGGTCCGTCCTACCCTGCTGGAAATCAGTGCCCCTCAAGAAAGGGGTGTTTCCAGAATGCAAGCAGGTGGGTGAGCAGCAGTTCTCAGGCTGAGCGGTGGGTGGCTGTGGGGCCTTTTGACACACAGGTCTCTTGCTGCATATCCTGCATATGGCCCTGGCAGTCATAATAGCATGCCTCCAGATCGCAAAGCTGTGAGTACTCCTGTGAGGAGAATTCCACTTTGTATAAAACGTGGCTGTGAAAAGAATGAACTGAACTGTGATAGATCTGAAGGGATGACAGAAAAATAGCCTCTGAAAACAGGAAACTGGTTCCAGCAACTTATCCTGAAATTTTTCAGAGATGAAGAGCATTCATCTCTTCACATTCAGGTTTGTCAAAATGATGCAGTAATGTACTCTCTAGAGAAATCTAAACAGTGAAGAGATAAAATTCTAACTGTCAGAGTGGTGAGAAAGCAGGGTTTAAAAGATACGTGGGTGTTTGAGTGAATTAAAAGTAACACAGCTGGCTGTAAAAACGAGACTTGCCAACAAAGCTTATATTTTTTCCCAAAAATCTGAATATTTTCTCTGAATTCTCATGTTCACCCAAGTTGTTCTTTATTCAAAAGCACAAGAAAAGGCATTCTTATGAGAAGATAAATGTGGGGTCGGCCGAGTGGCACAATGGTTAAGAACTGGCTTGGGATGCCAGAGGGCCCCGGTTCAGATCCCACATATGAGGGCCAGTGACACTGCCCTCCACAGCTAAGATGCTGAACAACAGCTCAACCTGGAGCTGGGCTGCTGTGAGTCGCTGGCGATGGCGTAGGCTGCAGCCCCTGTGGCAGTGGGTTGCCATGGGCTACCGTGTGTAGCCAGCAGCCAGCATGAACAGCCAGCAGCCGCAGACTGATCTGCCTCACCCGGGAAGAGCGCAATGATGGTGCCAACTTGGGCCAGTGAAGCAACGCCCTCCACAACTAGACTGAAGAACAAAAGGACAGCAACTTGTCTGTTCCCCTTCCCCCAATTCCCCAGAGCTGTTCCCATCCCCACAATTCCCCAATAAAAATCTTAAAAAAAAAAAAAAGAAGATAAATGTGAAAATTCACTGAGAATGAATGCCACTCACAATCCCCTTTGCCTGGATTTATGAACTGCCCTTCACTTTGAACCCTGGTGGACTGGTTTTGTTCAACTGTGGGGATACATGCAGCGTGTTGGGAGGAATTGTGAATGTCTGCGTACATTGGTCACTGAGCAAAAATAAGTAAAAATGTCCTGAGCACGGATATCGAAACTCTTCCCTGTCACCTGGGCCGAGTTCCAGGACTCCTTGTGAACAAGGCAAAAAGGAAAGTGACAGTCTAGCTCAAAGCCCTTCAAAAACAACTCTACAAAACCCATTAAAGAAAACAGAGGCCAGTCAAAATGTGAGGCTCATCTTTGTCACAGAGAACAAATTCTGTTGGGTTCCACTGCAATAGTCCAACGCACTGAAGGAAAAGCCTTAATGCTGCAGCTCGCTAATCGCTGATGGCAATTGTTATGTGGATGCAACTCCAATGATAGGGTAGCAGTTGTCTCCTTGTTAATGATCCCTTCAGTTCTATCTGCTCTATTTTTCTACAGTGACTATTGCATTAGGGCTTGGGCAATTAAAAGTATTAGGCCGAAGTGATAAAGAAGGT